TTGGACTAAAAATTACACAAATATTCTTGGTAACATTTTGCTAGTGTTAAATTAACTCTTACACTACTTCATAACTTGTCGCAGAAATGGGATTAAAAGTTTAAACACAGTTCCTAATCCCTTTGGTTGATGGAAAGTACATGTATTATCTACAAAGTTGAATAAATGTAAAATGGCTTACCAAATAACTCAAAGAATAGAGCTAAAACTTCATTTGTGGTTAGCAGAACCCTCTTTCCCATGCGGTTTGCCATCTTTGAATATAGCGGCAAAAATGCCTAAGTCAAAAAGATGACTAAGGCAGGAAGTGATTTTAGACTGTMACAAGCATTGTGATAGGCTGAGGACATAAGCAAATAGGCAGGATGATGCAGCAGTGGCAGGAGAGTAGAGCTAGGCAGATATCACAATTTGGCCAAAAAATGACAGGCARTTATGCTATGTGGCTAACGATAAGTAATAATAGTATGAATAAAAATATTATGGTTTGCAAATAATTTTCATCCTATTGAATACACTACAAAGACAAGATATTTAATGTTCAAACAGATAAACTTTACTGTTATTTTGCAAATATTCACTCATTTGGAATTTGATGCTGCAACATGATCCATAAAAGCTGGGACAGGGCAACAAAAGACGAGGAAAGTAGAGGAATGCTTAAAAAAACACCTGTTTAATATCTTGTCTTGCGTATTCAATCGAACATAGGCTAAAAAGGATTTGCAAATCATCATATTCTGTTTTTATTTATGTTTTACACAATGTGTAATTGGGGTCGTACATTGAAATATATTATGAAGTCATACACTGTTTATTTTCTAAAACCCATACAGATGTTTTGTGGCTTTACAGCAATGGGGGTTGTGCAGCAGCTGACCTGAAGAATTCCTAGTTTGTCCTCTAAAGCAGGGACTGGTCAGCCCACCCAACCCCCAACATACAATAATTCTTCAGCCAGGATGAAGTGAGCTCCTGTTCACTAAATGACCCTCGTGTGCTACAATGGTAACCTGAGAAGTAAGTAAGTACAAAAGGTTTTCAGAAGTATTCTGTCTTGTTGCCTCCCAAGCTGGAATTTAAATAGATATGGAATTTGATTATATAGAAGGCATCTATACAAAATACTTCAATTTGATTACACTAAATATGAAAAATGTTTGAAAGAATTCCAAATAAATAACACTGAAAAGCGATGTGTTCATATTCACCACCTTTTATTTGTAGTCCCAACAGTTATCTTCAGAAGCCACATAATTAGTTCAATGATCCACCTGTGAGCAATCTCAGTGTTAGATTATATCAGTGTATATACACACCTGCTGTAAGGGCTGGCCCATGACATTGGTAGTATAAGCAAATACTAAGGGCACCTGCCATGTAGGGGCAAAAACAAAACAACAACAATATTTTACAGCTTTTCATCAGAGTATTGTTTATTTAGTCTGTGGAATAATCCCTGGTTACTCTGGTAACTTGTTCTGCGTTGTTCCCACATGAGGTGTTGTATGGTGCAGAGAAGATTTTATGATAAAAGTCCCATTTGATGCAGTCAAGACTAATGCCTGCTCAGTGTGTAAATAGAAAACAAAATAAAGATAATGGAAGTTTAAGTTCTGATCTCAGATAAAGTTCAAGTTAAAGTCTGGTTTTCAGTGTATTACCATCGTAAAATACCAATTTTATGTTGATTTATTAATCCCAAGAATTTAGTAAAATGCTCTTCAAATGGCTGAAAAATTCAGCGTTTTGGGTAGAACTTTTTTATTTTCCAGAGAAGTATAACATTGGACCTCCTAGAACTGCTTCCTTCCACAGCTGCTTGTTAACATGAAGATGTTCCTCATTGTCAGCAAATGCTGGCATGTACGAGGTAGACTTTTATTGTTCCATTTGCAGTAGCGAGCACAGTTCTTCTCATTCGCTTACCCTCTATTAGCAGAAACAATATTTTGATGAGTGGTTTAGCGTTTGCATTAATTTTGTTAACTAGTAACGCACTTAACTATATTTTCTTTACCACAAAAAAATTACATCACTACAACCTTGATAATTTTTGTTAAGTTACCTTTTACATGTAGAAGGGACATCCTTAATAAAACTGACCTGTGAGTTAACGTTCACTCTCCTCTTAACTAGAGATTGAATACTTCTAACTCATGATTTCAGTTTTCAGGCAAAAACAGATTTTATTATAAATTTTAACAAGAATTTGTCAAGAAAAAACAATACACCCAAAACTATTGAAAAAAGTCAAAGGAAATCTTTTTTAGATGTTTTCCCAGCATCTTTTGCAATTGAGACATCATTCATAAGTGAGGCTAGTAATTTTGGCTACTATTTTTAATGAACAACCTGGTTTCTAAAGATAAAACATTTCAAAAGCGAAATTATTTAATTTGGTATATAAATGTTTGGAAACTGGCAGTGAGGTTTAGAAAATTACACAAGGGGCGCCACCTGAAATCATGCCTTGGGCGCCGAATTGGCTGGGGCTGGCCCTGCCTATTCTGAACAGAATCATCACCAGTGAAACACGTCCAATAGTAGGCCTAAGGAGACAACATGAAGACCAAGGAACTCTCTCAGAGACATAGTTGTAGAGAAATATAGATCAGGGCTGGAACCCTGATTATTGGGCCTCATGCAAGAACCGTTCGTACGCACAGATTTGTTCTTAAGTTGTGCGTACGAGTGATTTAGGAGAATTTGTGGCATTCACCAATTTTTTCGTATTCTAAGATTTTCTTCAGATACGAACAAAACTCACGAGTGGTCCAGACCTGTTGTATATTTTACGAGCAGACAGTCTGCCGTTATCCAGACTGATTTTTCTCACTAATAACTCCAAATTTCATTAGTTTGAAGATATTTCAAGTTAAAAATAAATTACACTCCATAATTATGTTGATAATAGGTTCTGTTTGAACTGGAATTTGATTTTAACGACATAAATTGATCAGATTAAATTAAATTAGCTTTTAATGCTGCTGTATAACACTACAATATTAATATGAAGATCTCAAACTAAAAAAACAAATTAAATTATGCATTAATTGAAGTTTAGAGACATTTCAAAATGCGTCTTTTGAGAACCGCATCTGACACTTGCGACGGCCGGGAGGGGGGAGACAGCCAGGCGGGGGGAGGTGGTGGTGGTGGTGGTGGTGGTGGTAGTGGTGGTGGTGGGGTGGGGGTATAGCGGTGCACAACTGCTCTTCCTCTGAATAAACTATGTAACACAGTTGTTTACACTGATATTAAAAATATTTGACCAAAGAAAAAATGGAGCAGGACTACAGAGAAATAAATATGATTTAGAATTTTATTTCTGTGACTGCACGACCCACAGGAGACACAACATTAACAGCAGTAGTCATTTCATTCCTCGGCTTTAAAGCAGATCCTTTAGTTCCAAGGTCAAGCTGCTAAAAATGACATTTTTTTTGTGGATCTCCGAGAGCAGGTCTTCAATCTCCGAATTCGTAAAGTTCTTATTTTTTACTTTGCAATGTCATTCATGAATGGACACGTCCCTGGTATGTGGGGCAGGAAACGTATATCCTAATATGGTGTTTTTGGTGTGGTAATTATGTAAATAACTTCTCCGCATGCACGAGCAGGTGGATACGAACAGGTGTAATTCATCGTGTTTACGCAGTTCATTTACACACTTTTCCTGAAGATAGAAGAGTTTGTTGAATCTGATGTGGCATGTTCGTACGAACCCTTCATACGAACAAAAGTAAGAGAAATTTAGGATAAGAATACGAACATGTTCTTACATGAGGCCCATTGAATTTATTACTGGAAAAAAAATTTCCTGCTGTAAACCTGTCAATGGAGGGTCATCCACCAGAATTCACAAACCAGTCAAGAAGGTATTTATTGAGAGGGCAAAGATAACCCTGAGGGATTGTCTGCAGAGGGGAGAGAATCTGTCTATGGGATCACTATAAGCTGCACAGAGTTGGGCTTATTGGAAGATTGGAAAAAAACATTTCCTAAAAGTGGGGGGAAAAAATGCTGACTATGAGGAAATTCTCACCAAAACATTTTGGGAAAAAATTCTGTGCTCAGATGTGACTGAATTTGTACTTTTGGCCACCATGCAAGGACACTGCCACGCCTGCCCCAAACCCACCACCTCTTATTCTGAGATCCCCCATATCCACAGTGAAGCATGGTGGTGGCAGCATCATGATGTGGGGATCGTTTTTTTTTTTATTTATAGCAACTGGGAAATTGGTTAGAGTAAAAAACGAAAAATAGATGAAACGAAATACAGAAAATGTTTTTGGGAGGAACTTGTCGGAGGCTGGAGCAGAGGTTCACGTTCCAGCAGGACAATGACCCTAAACACTCGGCTGAAGCAACATTCCAGAGGTTAAAGGAGGGGAAAAACAGTTTAATGTCCTGAATTCTGTTGAGATTTGGTTTAGGCTGAACATAAGCAGACTACATTCAATTTGAAGGAGTTGGATAAATTTTCCACAACCAATATCATCATCCACCGAGAGAAGTTCAAAGACATACTGTAAGCACATTTTAAAATCAACGTTAGAAAGCCTTTTCCACAAAATACAAGCAGAGAAGAAGATTTTTTTTAATTAATTCAGAGTATTTGGTATATGTTGCTGAAATGTATGGAAAGTTCTGATAACTGGGATTATCAACAAACCCATATTACCAGATTAGGCTACAAAACAGAATTGTATCGCCACTAAAAATAAAAAATAAAAAAAGACTAGATAGTCTCCATAGTAATAGTAAAATATATATTTTATGGGCTATAAACAGAGCTGAAGAGCTGGAATTCACTTCAGTTTAATTCTTTAATTACTCCAAAAATTGGACAACTGTTAATTTTGTATAACTCTTAAAAACGACTTGACCCTTTCAAAGTGTGCAGCAGTAGGTGAAATTAATCATGTTTAGCAATCCAAATGTCATATACACTGATTTTTTTTTTTTTTTAATTGTACAACAATTTTTCTTACTTTTGTGTCTGCCGGTAGTCCACGACTGATTCGCGATACTTGGGCTCCGGATAATAGCCCTCCCAGCCGACTTGAGTGCATCCATGTCGGTGTTTCAAAGTGCGGCGAGTCGGTGAAGTTCGCTGAGTCCTCCAGAAGGAATGTTGTTGACCAGACTGCTGATGGGGTGATGCCTTCAAGTGCCACTCGGACATCCCGCGATTTAACAGCGTCGAGCGTCTTAAACCACGTGTGACATTGCATGACGCTGAAATTAATAAACATTAAAACGATTTAATAAGATTATGTTTGCCCCTAATATTATCCAGATAACAATTAGTGAAATTTGAGATGATTTGTATTTTGCAGCTCGTTACTTTAGAATGTATTTCTCTATATTTGTATCACTTTTGTAATTTAAAATTTATTATTCACTTAAACTTAACAATGAATACAATAAGCAACAAATACTTACATAAAAACCAGTTCAGTTTATTTGCATTCACACATAGAAAACACGTGTTGAAATTCTTTCTTTTGTCCACCCTAGAATCATGAACGCATTATACCTGTGCACTGAAACTGGTATTTCCCCTCAGCATATGCAGACTGCATCATTCACTGAGGGCTAGCTCCTGATTATATTTGAATGTTATAAAGTGGCCTAAAGTTTGGGGATTTAATAAGTAAAGCCCAAACATGCCTTTAAACATTTTGGACTTTTAGAAACTGAAGTAATAAACACATAATTTAAACTAAATTCTACTGACTGTCCTGTAAATTAGTTTTTATGGTTTTAATATTACAATTTTTGTATCCTCTGTGTCTTCTGCTTTTTTCTTTTCTTAAAAAAATAATTACTAAAAATAGCAATATTCCTACAATTTCACATAATTTGGCAGAATAACTACTCCGTGTAATTATTACTTCTAGGTTGGACTATAGCAATTTTAATTGAGCACATATGTAAGAAAAAAAATTGTAAAGTTCAGAACAGACTTTAAAATTGACTTCAAACATCAAAGCTCTCCATCACTAATCTTCTCCATCTTAAAGATCTTATTGTTCCATTTTTCCCCAGCAAAGCACTTCACTCTCAGACTGCAGGTTTACTTGTGGTTTGTAGCGTTTCTAAAATGAGAGTGTGAACTTTTAGTTCTTTTTGGGCTTCTCTCTTGTGGAAGGCTGACAACCCCAGATTGAAGACTTTTGAAAAAATTGTTCGAGGTAACCCTTTCTTTTTTCTGCTGGACATACTGTACAGATAAACTGAAATCACATATTCATGGACATACTGTTGGATAGCCTATTTTGGGGTTGATTAACTGAATTTCCGATACAATTGATAAAATAAGTGTGTAATAATTTACTTTAAATGGTCTCTGTGCCTCACTCCAGAAGTCTTCACGCATAATGTTTTACATTTCAGGAATTTAAAACTTGGTTTAGAGGTACTTCTTTGTTTACTATGACATCATATCTTGGGTGTGACCAAATTTTCTATAAACACTGTAAGGACTCTGTAATTCATGGCCATTTTGTTTTAGCTCTCCAGAGCCAGAGACAGGCTCGGAGTGAAATTCTTTGGTTCAAAAAATAAACATTCATTTGAGAACTTAATCGGTTTTCTGCACAGGATTCGGGCTTCTAATCTAAACAACTGCTTTAGTAAATGGTGCTGAAGGTTCTACAATGTGTGTAACTCTTAGTGAAGTAACTTCAGTAGTTTCCCCTCAATGATTTGTTTTACAGCACTTTTTAGACTGATCAATACCCAAAACAATGGTGAAGTCCAAGGAACTTGGTAAAGATCTAAAAAGAGGAGGGAGCTGGTTGCCAAGGCTCAAACCTGCCATGGACATCAGTGTCCTCGTGGATCAAATGTCAAGCAAAAGAAAAAAGCTTCCAACCTGGAGAGAAAAGTTCAATCAATCATTAAAAGCTTCAATTAAATTTGATCTTGGTGCTCCTGATGACCTATCTGCTGCAAAGAAGGGTAGAATGACCAAGTCAACAGCTTGCATATTGCCACCAGCAAGACTTTCTTTTAATGGTGAAAAACCAAAGTGAAACGAGTGACACAGCCACAATCACCTTGAGTAAAGAAAATAAACATGGTGGAACAATAAAAAGTTAAAAGAAAGCACTTTTTAACCCCTCCCCCCCTCCCCCAACCTTTAACACAAACTTGTAAAAAGCAACTTGAGAACTCAATTCACAATGCAAAAGCGATCCACAAACAATACTGTTTTTTTTATATAAACTTCCTTTTTTTTCTCAGGTAGGTGACATGACATCACAGCATGGTCAAATGGTTCAGGTATAACCTTGTTCCTACAACACATTCACAGAATCTTTCCTGCTTTTAAAAATAACAATGCTAAAATAAAATCAGGAAACAAATAAAACGATGGGAAATAATATAGAAGTGCCATTCACTAAAAAGTCTAAAAAATACATTTAAAAAAGTGCAAATGGCACAACCAGTCCAACATGACTGTCTGCTGTTTTACCGCGATCAGCCCTAGAACCTTGTAAACACAACATCGTCCAAATATGCTCTATTGACGAACAAAATAACAGCACACTTCTGCAAACATTATGCTAGCTACACCAATGGAAACCAAACATTAACACTTGGCACTTAACTAAAATTAAATAAGCAAAGGAAACATTCCTCAGCAAGATAATGTACATTGTTGTAAACAAAATGCCAGCTTGAGGGCATGATAATCAACAATCAGTTTGGGTAACAAGCATCCGTCACATGACGTGTACAGTGTTTCATTTTTGCTTTTTTTTCCCTTTAAGGTCTGCAGAATTAAACACGTCGGACCCTTCAATACTGATAACTTGAGCAACTTTTTCAAAAATATATAAAAACAAAAACCAGGCGTATCCAAGTCAGAGAGAGGACAGTCGCTTTGAAGCTAAATCCCAGAATGAAAAACAAAAAAAAATAAAAAAAATAAAAGTGATTCCTGGATAATAAAAAGAACAACTGCAAGGCACTGCTAACATCTGCAAATTACGGTAACGACTAGTTACCTTGACATCATTAAATCCAAGGAACAGTGTGGCTTAACGGGTCCTAATTTGGTCCAGAAACGAGATGTGTCTGCAGCAAACAAGTAAACGGTGAAGTAATGTTTTGGCAGTGCCACGTCCAATCTAGCAGTTATTTTCTTAAGGGCAAAATTATGTCTGCTTCATCCACTGACTGATAATCCTGGAGACTCGATTAATCCTGTATTAAGAGACTATACTGTATCTGAGGAACACAGCAAACGATTATCTGCTCAATATCACTATTTCAGAATAAATGCACATTGTCAAACTGAAACGATACAAAACAATCACTGATTAGGTTAATGCTGATATCAAATCATGAACAGTTCTACATTCATGTATCTCTTACAGGGCTTTGCTTTACAGGTGACCTTTTGAGTCACTGAACTGAAAACATGCTTCCTATTTTATATATATATAAAAAAGTCAACAGATTACCAAAAAAGTAAAGACCTGGGTAAGTTCACTGTAAAGAGGTCTGACAAAAAGCGATGCTTGATGGCTCTTCAGGAGACATTTGGCCAACCGGTTCTACACAACTCCTTCAAAATAATAGTTCTTATAGAAGAACAGCACCCCCTCCAAACAAAGAATATTATGTATGTTCATAAAGGAGTTGTGTGTCTGTCAGTGCTAATTGCAAAAAACTTGTCAGGGCCTAGTAAATCTAAAAACAACCCAAAGGGTAGCTGACATCCAAAGAAAGAAAGAGACATAAAGTTCTGTCTGACAAAAGAGTCACTTTTTGAGGGGCTGGTAGACTGAGGCATTGGGGTCCAGGGAGGAGGGACTATTGTCCATGAACTTGGAGGAGTAGTGGGGGGTGACGGGGCTGAGGTTGCTGCCGTCTGAGGTGTAGGACAGGCTGGGCATCACAGCCATCACCTCTGCTATCTTCTGCTTCAGTTCTGCGATCTCCTGCTCCCTCTGGTGGATCTGGCCTGAATGAGACACAGGAAGCAAAGGTGGTTTCAACAGAGACGCCACAGACAAGCAGAATTCTCATCCCAGAAACCGTTCAGACTAAATCAGTTTTATTTGTATACAGAGGTGGGAAATAACAACATTTACTTGTGTACTGTACAGTTTTTGAGAATTTGTACTTTACTTTGGTACTTTCACTCCCCTACATTTCTCTAAAGACTTTTGTTTCTCCTTATTTCTTCTGGCCATGTTTGACAATAACAAACTACAAGTTTGTGTCTTTTGTTTCACCAACACACTGTAACATTACACCCCTATACAGTAGGTGGCATAATGTAGATTTAAACCGCTTGTGATGAGAAGAAGAAGTTTTGTCCTACTGGTGTTGCCTTAGGCAAGTGTGCTCAGATTGGGCAGGTGGTAATAATGGCTACGCCTGCTGTACACAAGACCGACTCTTTGGAGCATCCATCATCTTAAAGGGATCCATGATTAGTTGTAACATTAGACTTTATTTAATAAACATATATTTTAACTGTAAAATAAAGATTGTAAAAATACTGTAGGCTGTTCAGTTTTTATCATTTTTAAACTAAAAGTTTAAAAATATATTACACGGACAAGACCATTTTAATTACACACAAAGCATTAAAAATTTTAATCTATACCCAGCACTACTATAAACATCAGCCAGATCATGAATAGTTTTTGCAGGACATTGTAAAGGTCTTCAGGCATGCATTAAGAAGGCAGTGGGCTGCTTCTATTGATGAAAAAAAAGGCTGGGAGCGTGTTTTAATAGTCCAAAATTTGAAGGTTTATGAGGACAATTTGTGAGAATTTTTATTATGTGTTAAGGAGTGTTGAATTATTCTTACCTATGTATCATTTAAAAGAGTTACTAACAACTTACTTGCTATAGTTTTATCTACAAATAATAGCTTTGGTGAAGATAAGGGACTAAAATGTCATAGTCACAGTACCAAGCATATGAAAACTTCAAGTTAAAGATTATTATATGCCTTAAATCAGGTAAAAACAGGTGAGCCACATCGGTTCTGTTTAGTTAAACAATTTCACATTAATTTTGTATCACTGTATTTCAGGAGGGATTACTGAATTTGGAGCCATACTGCATACCTTGTGCTATTTCCAGCTGCCTCTTTGCGTCCCCCAGTGCAGAGAACAGGTCCAATTTGATCCTGGTCTCAGCACTGAGGCTGTTCTCCAAGTGCTGGGTTTTCTCCTGCATGGCTGACAGCGCCGACATCAACACCTCTGTGTCTTTTTCATTCTCTTTATACTTGCGCAGCTCCTTTGTGTGTCAGAAATCAAACAGAAGCAGACAAGATAAACAACAGGTCTTTGATGAGATCAGAACATCCTTATTTAAACACATCACTCATCCTCATTCAGTCTCACCTGACACTTGCCCTCCAGATCTCTAATCTGCTCCTCCTTCAGCTTCATGTCCATGCTGAGCTTCTTGCACTCCGTCTCCAAGTCTCTGATACGACCTCGAAGAGAATCTGTGGACTCCACTCTGTTGCACGGAAGAGGGAAAACCATTTGTAAAGACTAGAAGCCGTTAATACAGTTATGAGGAACATGCAGATTTAACGAATACCTTGTTGCGGCTGCCAAAGCTACTGCTCTGGCTGCAGTAGCCTCTTCCATCTTCTTTCTCTTCCTCTCCTCAGCCAGCTGCTTCTCTGCCAGAGCTCGGGCTTCCTGCTCGGCCTTCAGTCTCTTCTCCAGTTGGGATATTGTCTGTTTATCCTTCTGCTTAGCTTGGACGGCACTGTGGAGCCTAAAATGCAGAGAACGTTGTGAACTTGGGCCTGGTTTACACGTCCAAAACTTATAAAGAATCAAAACGACCAACTACTTCAGTACCACGTGTTGCTCAAACAATGATAGATTTAGTGAAATAAAGCAGGGTTTTGTGTGCACGCACTTGTTCTGCAGCAGCTCGTTGTCCTGGCGCAGCTGGCCCAGTTCAGAGCGGAGGCTGCGGTCCTGGCTACTCAGAGAGGACAGCTGACTGCGCAGCTCCGACTCCAGCTGCCTGTTGGCCTGAAGATCGGCCTTCAGGCGCTTCACATCCTGCTCCAGCCTGCAAGGAAACACAGCCTTACAGCATCAGCAGGACAAGTTTCCTCATGCAACTTCTGTAAGGTTCTGACATTTTAATAATAATAAAAAAAAACATCAGACAGTACTGGAGAAAATGTATTTACTGTAAAAAGTCAGTGTGGCTGAATGGCTTCTCTGAAATCAACTAAAGATGCTGAAAACAGCTGGTAAAGTTAAAAGTCAGATGCCATCTAAGAGCTAAAAGAAAACAAAATGCTAGCTTAAAAGCTACAAAAACTAGTGGCTAAAATAGGCTAAAAACTAGCAAAAGACTGAGGAAAAAATGATAGCCAAGAGTCAAATGAACAAAATACTAGTTAAAAAACTGAAAGAAAAGAAATGCTAGTTACAAACCAAATAAAGCAAAATGATAGCTACAAAGCTAGAAGAAGTAAAATGTTAGCTAAAAGCTGTAAAACACTAGAAGTATCAAAATAAGAGTTCAAAGCTAAAAGTAGCAGAGCAGTAGCTAAAACCTGCTTGCATAATGTGAACTGATGTGAGTGGAGTATTTGATTTTAAGAGTACCGGTATGTAGGATGACTTGTTGTAGAGTGATTCTTGCTTTTGGATATTGTAAGTATGTTTAACTGCCTGAAATGAAATTGCCTGAAATGATTTTTATTGAGTAGTTAGTCTTTTTAATGTATGTTTTTATTTTTATTTTAGTTTTTCTTCCATAAGTGGTGTTTATGATGACATCTTTTTGGGAGCATGGATGATTATTAATTGATTTTATATTATTTATGATTGTATGCCTTTGTATTGTATATTTATGATGTCTTAATTTTTCTTCTTCTTCTTCATTTTTATTTTATAATATTGTGTGGGCTAGGTCAGGGACTACAGGTGGAAACTAGCACCCAGAGCTATAACTTGATACAGTGCATCTTTCCTTTTATGGCTAATGCATACTGTATATTGTCCCTCTTTAAATAAAAAGGTTAAAAAAAAGGTCACAGTAACGGCTAACTAAAACTTAAAAGTAGCAGAGGACCAATAGATCAAGTATGTTAAAACAGATTTAAAAGAAAACAAGGTTTTGAAAATATCTTCAAATATTCTAAAAAAAGGAAGATATTTGTAACAAATTCCTGAACGAGCTCAACTTTTTGACAGATGAATGGCTAAAATAGCACAAAGTATGCATAAATGGCTTAAGAAAAAATGTAAACAGAAAATAAAAACAGGAAAGCTGTGCGAATGCTGACTCAGCAAGAGGTAAACTCCATCAGTGACATTCTGATGGTATTGTGTTCTATTCTATTTATTGTGGTTGTCGTGTTGCTGCCCCTTGTATAAAGAAAGGGGTCGTAACAGTATCATTTTGGTCCAACAATAAAAACTGATCCACACTCAAAGGTAACACCAGATGTAGGAACATTAAAGCAGGGGGGGGGTCTTACCGGACCAGAGTGTCAGATTTGCCCAGCTGGTTGTTGGGGATGCAGTTTTCCACCGGGTCCTTCTGTCCCCTCCCTGCACCTTTCTGTTTCTTCTCGTTCTTACTGGCTAAGAAGCCTGGCAGCAGGCTGCCGTTTGTAGAGCTGTGACTCCTCGGGGACGAGTTGCCACCCCCACCACCGCTGACATTTTTGTAGTTCTTCCCCGCCCCCCCACTTTCCTCTTTAGAAGTCATGTGTGTGTTGCTGTCAGTGAGTGTGTTCTCTCCTGCTAGGTCGTTGTTCAGTCTCTTTGCTCCAATGTAGTTCTCAATAAACTCTGTCTCCTGCAGTTTGGAGTCCAGTGCATGTAGAATACTGTTGTTATTGATTCCCACTGTGTTCTGCTTTTTACTCTCACGCTCTTTCGCTGTACTGTCCTTCCCTTTTTCACGGTACTCCAGTTCTGGTAATAAGACTGAAGCGCTTTTCTTCCCAGGTGGCGCTCCGTTTTGGGATGTAACTGTGGGTTCGATCTCAGAGATCCCTTTAGCTAAGGCAGCTGGACCAAAGAAAGGACAGACTGTGTTAACAAACACACAAAAACAGATTTAACCAAGAGACAACTACAAACATGTTTGCCTATAAACAGAGGTAAGATGATTAACTGACCCAAAACAGGATCGTCCAGGAGAAAAAGCTGCATAAGTGATGTCTGAGTTTATATAAAACACAAGAATTTTCATCACTGACATGTCAGGTACTCAAGTCTGCAGCAGGGGGGTCAAACCCAGGGATACAAAAACTTGTCCAAAATTAATTGCAAAAACAATTTCAATTGATCTTGGTTACTAGGTGATATTTCTCAAAATATTCATATAAATATACTGTATGTATGACCAGTGGGAGATACCAGAAGAAAACTCACAGAAAAAGTTTTAAACCTGACAAACTTTTTCCCCTCATTAAGTCTTAAGACCCTGTCACACTTTAATGTTTTAGACAACTTATACCAACCAATTTATAATTTCTTTATGACTAAATAAACCATACAGGTTATATATTGGAGAATGCATACAATCAAGAGAGACTTCCAGTTGACTTTTTTAATCCCATCTTTGGTGTGGACAAGTCGAACAAAATGTTCATAAGTTATCAAAAATGTTAGAGAGTGACAGGGCCTTTAAAAGAACAGTTGAGATGTTTTGAAGAAGACAAACAGGTACCGTAATATGAAAGTGACGGAGAGTAAAGTTTAAATATTAGTAATTGTGTTTCATAAACTTTTGGAGATTGGAATGGTTTTAAAAAGCATTGATCCACTTCTAGCCCAAACTAAAAGTCCATTTCTCTAAATTGAGGTCATTACTTTTTCAGGAAGCTCACTTCAAAAAAGGCAGAACTACTCCTTTAATTTAGTATTTTACAAGTAGACGTTCCATTTGTTTTATCTTTTAAATGTTGAGGGAGTAGGAAGACAGATAATCAGGCAAAACTTTAAGGTTCTAATCAATTTTAAAGGAGAACCAGGTTTTATTTACAACAAATTCTGGATTCTTTAACAGTATAAAACACTTCTCACTTCTGTTCACATCTTCCACACAACTAGTTTTCTTTAGATGTTACTGTGCAGAAAACCGGAGATTTTTCTTTCACCACACAGTGCTGCAAGGTTTTTTTTTTAATCTCTGTGTCTCACCTTCTTCTGCTTCTCGCTCTTGCCTCTGCAGCATCTGTTGCTCTGGTGGTAACGCCTGCTGTAGAAGTTGCATGTAGAACTCGTTCTCTTTCTGGACCTCCTTCTGTTTTCTCAGACGCATCTTATAGCTTACATAGCTCTTGAAGCCGAAACCTAGAGTCACCACTGGATAGCCAATACTAGGAGAGGAGAAGAAACAATCAAACACAAACAAACAAACAAACAAACAAAAAAAGAAGCAAAAAAAGGCTTAATTCTGACAATTAATGATGCTTACCAGTGAGCAGCAAAGGGCCGACACAGATCTACATGAAAATTCTTCAGATCTTTGAACCGTATGGCAGCTTCGATGTACACAAAGAGGATCCACAACGATACGGTGGGTAGACAGACTCCTCTCTCTGCAAGAAACACAGGATAAAAAAGAAAAGGGCAAAAAATAAACTTAATCACCAATGAAAACTGGTGCCAAGTAATTTATTGGACAAGTCTTTGAGGTGAAAGAGGCTGCAGGCTGCTGGAGCAATAATAAATTAGGATTTCACTCCATGTGTTGGGAATGACCCTCAGCTACTGTCACATCCAATTTTGTATGAATATCTGTAAAATTGACTGAAAAATAGCAACTTTTATGTTTTTGTTGCTTTCCAAACACTTTTCCACATAAATAGGCCTGTGAACATCTGACCAATCCCAAAATACTTTGAGAATACTCCTGTGATAAGAACAAAATGACAAGATTTTTGTCAAACAACTACGTTAATGAGAGCCGATTCCACGTCTTTGGATGGAGAATGAAATGACCTTCAGTGTTGGATACAATATTGTGTAAAATTAAACATCAGTAAAACTGTCAGCAATTAAAATTTGCCATTTTGTGATTAACGCAACTAGTGTCGTGATGATGATGATGATGATGATGATGATGATGATGATGATGATGATGATGATGCATTTTTCATCATCATCATCAGGTGTGAATGTGAGCTCAACACTGGAAGGCAGCACAGAGCAGCTAATGCTAACCCTACAAAATTGTTTAATCACCTGAAACACAGACATAAACCAAAGTGCAAGGAAAAGTTAGAAAATACAGACCAAGGCCACAAAGTTGGCCACATGAAAGTGCAATTGTCGTCTATTGACATTAGGGCTGCTACGATTAATCGATTAATCGACAACTAATCGATTATTAAAATAATCGATGACTAATTTAATAATCGATTAATCGGTTTTTTTTGTTCTTTACTTTGTTTTTCTCTCCAAACTGCTTTGACACCTTCCACTGCCACATCTGCCTTTCTGTCCTTGACACACATCCAGTGGTAACTGGGGTAGGCCGTGGATGTTACATGTAGGGCTGCACTGATTAGTTGAAATAATCGATGACGTCGATTATGTAAATTTGTCGATGCATATTTTTCTTATTATCGATTCGCTGTATTACATAACCACCACGTGAATGTTCATGCAATTCCATTTTGGTACCTAAATGCATCATTGTGACTGTATTGGCATAAGAGTGGTGAGTTTTCCATGCTTGTCCTGAACGCAGCATCGCGCAAGAGCGTAATGTCAGCAGCCGCTGCTTCAGTTCAGTCTGAAGCTTGAAAGCCTCGCAGCTCCTGGAGTAAAATTTACCGAACAGACCGCCTCTGAATTATCTGGTGGATTAATTATCTTGCGAGCACGACGTTCACTTGCTCAAAGTAAATAAAGTACCGCCACTTTCTTTATTTCATCCACCATTAAACAGAGACCGGTGTTAGGTCGAGCCGCGTCGCCCCATCAGACGGTTCCCCCAGCGTCTCAAACAACGGAGGCGCTTCCCGACACACTTCTGACCTAAAGAGCACAAGCATCCAACAAGTGTTGGACGTGTTTTGGATGTTCAAAACGTAGCTTAAATAACTTATTTATTTTAACTACATCCTCTTTTGTTTATTTGATTTAAACATACTGTATTTGCCTTCCATGGACCTCCAGCACACATTTTTCTAGCGAGGAAATGACATCAATAGAAACACGTGGAGCTGGATTTTGTGTAATAAGACAAAACAGTCTTGTTGTTTTCAACAGTTTTCACCTTAAAGAAAAAAGTTACACAATTGATGTTACAATACAAAGAGTTGGATGTTGTCTTSATATTTGTTAATTTTTATATATTGAGAAACATGTTAAATAAAAAATAATAAATAAATGTTATAGTTTTTCCAGAGTGACTTGAATTTTGCATGATTTAGTTCATTTGTTAGATTAACATCTTGCACTATATTTCTTTTACTTGAATTTTATATGCTTTAGTTGAGATTTTATGTTGATGTTAAATCTTTTAAGCTTTTTTTCTTAAAGAATTGACTCTATAGTGCATATTTTGTGTCCATGAAAAAACTATTACAGAAAATATTACAATATTAAAGAATTGTTCTTGTTAATTTGAGTAATATATTTCTTTTACTTGAATTTTATATGCTTTGGTTGAGATTTTATATTGATGTTAAATCTTTTAAGCTTTTTTGTTAAAGAATTGACTCTATAGTGCATATTTTGTGTCCATGAATAAACTATTAAAGAAAATATTACAATATTAAAGAATTGTTCTTGTTAATTTGATGAAAACATTTTAAATATCCAGTGAACTCACATCAGAATAACTTATAGATTTGTTGTTAGAATAATCGATTAATCGAAAAAATAATCGTTAGATTAATCGATTAGAAAATAATCGTTTGGTACAGCACTAATTGACATATTATTTGTTACCAACTAAACGCCACAATTAATCATGATAAATGCATATGTCCATATTGCCCAACCATACTGTGTACCATCTTATGGATGGACAGATGGACACAATCTAGGGAACAAAAGGGTTGGACAGTTATGTGATTGGGTATTCAAGCAGGAGCATAGAGAAAGTTTTAACAAAGGGGCCATTTGTGACCTTGAGCTTTGACCCCATGACCTTGAAATCTACAGGGATCATCCATGACCCATATTATTTCCATGTCAAAGTGTAACTTACCCGCCCTGTGAAAGGATAACTCCACCCCCAACGCAAATTTGAAAAATGCATAAAGTGGAGACTCTGAGGGGGATGAGGTGGGGTGAGCGAGGAGGTGTGGCCATGAGAGAAAGTTTTTTTTTTAAGACGAGACAATGGGACAGCTAGCTTTAGCTTACTTTGACAAGCTAACATTCCTGAAAACATTTCTGATTGTTCTAAATAAATGACTTTGTAAAAAGTAAAGTTTAATGATATACATGCAAACTCACATTTAGCTGTTACAACATGAAACAAAGTTCAGGCAAAAAAACTGTTGAAATATGACTTTGGTCCAAAACAGAACAGAAAGAATATCTTTTCATTTCTGTTTGGTTCCCTGTTTCAATTAAAATTCACAATACAGCTCAGTCCGGGCCTGACGAGTGTTCTGTCCCCTGGATCATTCCGGACCCCACAGCCGACTGCACTCCCTCTGACACACCACACCACCCGGGACAGAAGCGTCAACCCACCAGCAGAGGAGTCCAAACATGATGTGAAAAACCCCTCCGTTGCCGGTTCACATGCAGCGCGAGGCATCATAAACAAACTGAATTAACTTCTCTTTGCAGTTAAATATATATTTCAAACAAATAAAAGGTTGCTGTTTCACATAAGAGTTCAGATCAGGACTTAAAAAATAAAAAATAAAAATAAAAAATAAAAACGCTACGGTGATCCGAATCCAACCGGAAATATTAAATACAGTACTTTTAAATACAGTTTGATGTGATATCCTGTTTTCATTTAATCCTCACAGCTTTAAAATGCTCCTAAGTTTATAAAGACCTCAGCATTTTTGTCTTTGTGGGGAAACTACCTGTGGATGTTACGGGATGTTCTGACATGGAGCAACCTGGAGCAGCGGTGAGTGTCAGCGAGGGTCTGGTTCGGTGACAGCAGGACCGCACGGAGCAGTCACTGTCCGGTTCTGTAACTTCTGTCCGATCCGGTCCATACCAGGACTTGCTTGAAAAKTTTTCAGGAGCAGTTTGAAGAGCTGATCATGGACATACACGTCCTTTTTTTTCCATCACTGCCTCGATGTAAGTTTCTCTCCTCCCGCTGCCTGCAGGTGTCCGCTGCAGAGGCACTTGTTCTCGTTTAGCTGTAATTACAGGACGTACGGCAGAGCTAGCCGCTGAGCTTCAACTCTACACCTTTTATTCTTTCCTGAACATAGTAAGGCTGTGACAATAATCTATAATAATAATAACAACAACAATAACAATAACAACAACAACAACAACAATAATAATAATAATAGCTGTGGAGCCATGTGTGTGTGTGTGTGTGTGGGGACATGTTTTTTCCCACATGTGGGGACAATGTGTGTGTGCGAGGATGTGTGTGTGTATTTTTGGCCCGATCTAAACTACGTGACACAGCAGCCACAGTTTACAAAAATGTTGAAGCACAAAGAGGATTTATAAGTTAATTCAGTTTGTTTTATGACTGATAGACTCCATGTTTTCACTGTGAGTGAGGAGAAGGCAGCTTCTACCACAGCTACGATCAACAATGCTATGGCTAACTCCTGCATCTCTGCAGGGCGTGTCTCTACCGAGAGGCTTTTATACTGACCACGGTGCTGTGAGATGTCACACAATACCAGCAATGTCATACGGTGCTTTTTGAATGAATAACGGAATTCAAATGTAGTAGCCATAGTTAAACCCATAGAGAGCAGAACAAAGACATTTTTAGACACAATATTGTAGATTTAAACTATTTTAGAAGAAAATGTTAAATTTAGGTCAAAAACAGCAAGGTATTACCCTTCAGACACAAATTAGACAGTTTGTTAAAAAAGTTGATTTTGGAGTATGTTACACTTTAAAAAGTTATCAATTTAGAGCTATGGCAAGAAAATGTCCACAGATAAATAGCACCATACCATAATATGTCCCCTCTTAGGATGGGTTTATTAAAAGAAGACTGACCTGTGTGCCACACGTACTGGACCCACACATAGGTGCTGGCAGCAAAAAACAGCCATTGGACGGGGATGAAGAGGAGGCATATGATGTCTGATGTAAACGCCACACAAACAAAGAAGACAGAGAACGCCTAGGAAGAAAAAGACAACAACAAAAAAGAGATGCAGAATAAACATTTAACTTCAGGACCACCTGATGTTCAGGTGAATGTGAAACAGGATGTGGAGCTCTTACCAGCCCCTGGTATCTGAACGAGTCGTAGACGCTCCGAATGAACAGCCAGAAGGGCCACAGGTACTCGAACCTGAACTCCAGCACAAAATCAGCCAGCAGGACCAACACCCACACCACCAGAAACTTCAGGTACAGGAAGGTGCTGCAAACAACACACAAACAAACAAAAGAGACAAACAAGTAAACCAAACTGACCACACGTTTCAGGGATTATGTGGCAATAATCTGGACTTTACGCAAACAGCTTTTTGGATTTTGTGTATAAAACCTCCACATTAGGAGCACTGATCTGCAAGAAACATTAGATTTGAAGGCAAATCAAACAATAATGCAGCACTGACTATTAAAGGGATATTTCTTACCTGTTGTAGGTAGATCTTGGAGCAACATTAGTTTGGAGAAATGGAGCTTAACTGTGATCTGTCTGATGAGCTAATGGCTAGTAGGACCAAGACTAAAGTAAAGCAGCTAATACTATTTTATAACACTTTTTTATTATTAGGTTTTTCCATAAGAACTTATATCCTACTGGAAGTTTTCCAGACTGCACCAGGGGCCTCATGTACAAAGACTTGCGTGGATTTCTTACTGAAACCTGGCGTACGGTCAAATCCAGTAAACGGCGCAGTGCCAAACTAAAAAAAAAAAGATTTTTCCTCAAAACGGCTGATGAGCCACTCGTCATCAGAACATTCTATCCGTTTATAAATAAAAGCTCTGCGTGTTACAATATTTATTATATCCTCCAGTCAGGCTGAATCCGTTCCTGTTAAATGCATTTTTGGCACAACTTTGCGCATCCTTCTGCGTCCATGTGGATGTCATAAATGTTAATCATGTGGATGTAATAAATGTTAATCGTGGTGTGAACAATAATCATTTTCACATCATGAACAGTTTCTCAGAATCACCTCTAAGTGTCGCCAATGGAACCCAAACCACAGAAACGTGCGTATGCCAGCCCTGGAGTTGGCATGGGGCTGCACACGTTTCCACGTTCAGTTGAGTTTTGATACATCCGGAGTTTTGCGTAGAAAATGGTGTACGCAAGGTTTTTGTGCATACGCACCATTGATACATGAGGCCCCAGAATTGCTACAGCTAGCTGGTGTGATACGTGCATATGAATAACCATCAAAAACAACTGTGTATTGTGAAATGAATGGTGAGCTAACATTTATAAAATAGTGTTTTGCACGAACTGCTATATTATTTGAGATTTAAGTTATTTCAAACCCAATTACCCTCATCTTTTTTTTACTTTTTTAATTTGTCATGCCAAATGTCAAAGTGAACCCAGTGTATGCATAGTTTAAGCACTAACAAATATTGCATGAGATTGTGCATAACATCAATAGACCATTTCGTAGTTGCAAGTACTAAGCGAAGCCTAACTCTTCTAGGTCACATGTCAACTGAGATAACGCTGAGGCTGCTATAAAAACGCCATTGGAATTGGGCAAATTCAACAAGCTCAAAAAGAGGATTTATAGCTTAGCAATTAATGAAAATTCTCAGCTATGAAACACAGTATAATCTAAAGAAAAGTTTAACATGAATACATTTAGAGCAAATATATTATGTATAAAGGTGTAAATTTATCGATTTAATCTGTTAAATAAATTCCAATAGTGTTTCCAAAGCAACCCCAGCGTTTCACTCAAAAAATGCAAACGACTCGATTGTTTCACGCATTTGAAACTTTTAACTATGAAATGAAAAATGATGAAAAACAAGAACTTGTCTGTGTAAAATTTTGGTTTTAAATTTTAGCACTAAAAGGCAGTGGGGTTGATTTATTGTTATAATTGTGCGTTTGAGGGTAGTTTTTAGAAACACCAAATTTTGAAGTCGGTGTCATGCTATCCTGTCACGTGATTTTAATCTCCATTTTTTTGTTGGGGAAAACAGTTTGGTTCAGATTAGTTATTAGCAAGTAATGTAATTGATTGTGTGTATATCACACACATTTATTCAGATATGTTGTATAGATATGAGGAGACAAACTGATGCATGACAGCAGAAAGTATGTCATGTTTTTAATAACGGTTTTAAATCGCTGTAGCTGGAAAGACACAGCCTCTCTGAGACTCTGTTGCATTTTATACGCCAGTTTCAAAATGATGTTGATAGGTCAAGTAAAACCAGCGTTATAACTAGTATTATAACTATCTAACTAACTTATAAGTTATAACTAATATTTTCCCCTGAAAACAATTTGAACCGCGTTGCCACGGCAGACAGCAGGAAACAGGGTTATCTTATGGCAAAAAAAAAAAAAACACAGCAAACGCCGTCAGTCTCAAATTTCTCTTGAGCCCCCCAATATCATTTCAAAGTTTGTTTTCAGCTTTGGACTGAGAAATTGTTGTGAAATTCTGACGTGCTCTATGTCTACAGGGCTCCGTGACTGTTTTGATGTCGTTATGGAAGTAATGCAGCACTTACTTCCTATTTTTCAACCTTTGATGACCTCTAAATCCTTAATGGCTAGTCCAATTCAAACAAACTAAACAGTTTTGGAATCAGTACGTTGAGCATTAAAAAGGGTGTAAAAAATGGAAAAACAGCCCTACAATAAGTTTGAATTTTTTTATCAAAGTTAAATGGATAAGGTTTTGAACTGAATTTCCCCAAACTGAAGTTGTTCACAGACTACAACAGGTAAGACAATAACTGTGCATAACTTGATCTGTTATTAATTTAACACATACCATACATGTATGAAGTTCATGTATTTTTAGGAACTGACAAATGTTTAGGTTTTCCAAATAAAGGTAAAGCCAGAGCAGGGGGCATGTCTGGACATGCTGCCAGCACAGCTGCTTCTCTCTTTTTTTTCTTTTCTGATTGCCACCAATCAATCCAAAGCAGAACAGCTGCTCACGCTGCAACAGGTTCATTTCAAACACATTTATGTGTCAACTGGTTTCTTTACTGGGTTTTAGAATTAGCTTTCTGTCAGACAAAGCACGTGAAATTTTAAACATGAAAGTTACGTTTTTGTTTTTTCCTTTGAACAAAGCGTATGTTGTTGTGTATTTTATCACTGAGCCACGCAGAGCTAACCTGTCGACAATTAAATCCGAACAGAATTTACATTTTAACAAGCAAACGGCAGATAAGCCGAGATATTACCATTAATCTCGGCCTATTGTAACAAAATGCGGTCATGTTCATTCAGCTCCTACTGCTCTGTAGCTCAAAAACCAAGATGTTCCTAATTCTGACTGCTAACAGAGACTGGCAGCCGCTGCTTGACATATACAGAGCGAGGCCATTGTTATACAATAAGGTCCCCCTCAGCCCCCTTTTTTTGGTACCTGCTATAAATACCCTCGGTGATTCGGTTCCGTTTTAACGGCCGTCGGAGTTTGCTGCAGTCCGCATTGCGCCGCTTCATCCTCCCCCTGTTGATTCACTTGTGATATCGGTCTGGTAACTGGGACTGTGGAATGTCATCCGCTCATCCTAGCGTTCGCACTTCTTCAATTATCCTCCATTGTTGTTGTTTTATGCTCATGAAACAAAGAAATAAATAAAAACAGTCCCCGCTGAAGGCCCTCCCCTTTTTTACGACAGGCTGCGTAGGCCCCACGACGTCATGACGCAGAACATGAAAGACGCACGAAACATGGCTGCTTCCTGTTAGTGGAGACGTTTCGCTCAGCTTTACTTTTCATTATAAATAAACTTCGCAGCGGTAAGTGGAATTATGATGCATTTTTGTAATTGTTTGATTATTTTATACTGTTTCGTTTTGCTAAGGAGCTAAGATAAGTCCTCGTTCGCCATATTTTACGCAAAAATCACATGTTCTTAACCACGTTTGTTGTGGATGTCTTCGCATATAACATTAAATGTTTATGTTCTAAACAAACATTTTTGCTGTTTTAGACGTATTCGTCCAAGATGGGTCCATTAAAAACTTTCCTAATAAGAAAAACATAGTAGGATTTAGTAATTTGTTAATTTCCCGAGACTTTTGTGATCGGTTGCGCCCCCTGCTGGTCTAAATGCTAAGTTAAGAAGAAAAAACTTCACTTAGTAATTTTACAAAGCTACTGTTAGACTGTTTACATATTATTATTATTATTATTTTTTCTAATAAAGCTGAGCAATAAAAACTACCTTTTAAAGATCAGCAGGAAAAAAATGATATTGCACGTGTTATAACACAAACACAGCCCATTTTACAGATATTAAGCTAATATATAGTTGTCACCTTCACGTACTCTGAACACTGCACATTGCACATCACTGCTTAAAACATTGGCATTAACTTTAACAAATGATTTGCAACGTAATGCTAAGCCTTTTACCCCATTTTTATATTGTACTACTTCATGTTAGTGTTGACTTATGAATATGTGTTCTATTTTTCACTAGGTAATAAATATCTAGGAGATAAAAGATGCCATTTGTTGTGAAGGAAGAGAAGATGGTGGAAAAAGAAAACGAGGGAGACAAAGGCGAAATGAGTTTAGATGATGGTGACAAAAATGAAGAAAAGGAAGGCGAAACATTTCCGGGTGATGGCGACGGAGAGAAAGAGTCATCATCACTAGCCCCCGCTGAAAAGCTTGCGCTACCTGCTCAGGTTGAGAAAAAGCAGGTTTTTAATCTCAACAATGAGGTTGTGAACATGAGGAAGGAGGTGAAGAGGGTTCGATCGCTGATTATCAGGAAACTGACACGTCAGATTGAAGACTTGAAGAAGAAGAAGGGAAAAGAGGAAGAGGTTGAGAAGAATCAGAGAAGAGCTACGAGACTGCTGAAGGAGGTGCACAGCATGAAGAAGCTCCGGCCTGATCAGGTATAGTTCTGGTTGTCTTCTGCTCCTCAAAGGGAAATCATCTTTTAAGTGTACAGTAATGTTAACAAAAGAGGTTCTCAGGAAATGCAATGAAGCCAGAGATAAATGTGGAAGTCAGACTAAATGAATTTATTCTGTGGAAGACTGACTGGAAACAACAGCTGAAACTGTGTTGCTGTTTTATTTTAAAATCTATATTTCAAAATAAAATCCAGGCATTTTGTGCGTGCTGCATGTTGCCATCTGCTTCCCAAACAGACACATTTTGACAGCATGTTTATATAAATATACCCATATATTTATTAATATAGCTAGGTCTTTGACAAAATTAGTCTGTCTTTGGTGAATTATTGTGAAAGTACAGATGTGCTTCTTCCCTTTTGTTATTTTTAATATTCCTTCAGTAGCAAATGTGTTGATTATTCCTCAGTCCCTCACTGATGTCTGCCTCCCTATCAAACAAAACAAACTGAATTAACTCATTTTAGCGATCCTGCAGTTCAATATTTGTAAACTAACTACAAACATACACATCAACCCCTTTAGACATTTACCTGTATATTGAGCCTCACAAATGCGTAATTTTCACAAAAACCAGTAATCCGCTAATCCGCTAATTAGTAGCGGGCGGGAAGGGGAACTGGCGGTTGACAGTGAGCACCTGTAGCAGAAGCAGGAGGAAGTAAGGACTGATAACTTATTTCTAGCAGTAGAGCGGGTTGGAAGATAGTTATTTGATGTTATTTATTGTTTTTTTAACGTCCTACAAACTTCAAGGGTTCAGTGTAAATGCTCTCATTGATTATTATAATGAGTACGTTTTTAATAGGTCAACGCGGACGCAGTGTAAATTGGAGGTAATGAAAAGAATCAAGGTGCTGCAACGGTCCAGTCAAAGTCCACAAATGTTGTGGTGGGACCTTAGGAGGAACAAATGTCTGTACACCTCAATGAACTGAGGCAACATTGGAAAAAATAGAGTGGTCCAAAACTCCTCCACAATCACAAGTGTTTGAAAGTCCTACAGAAAGTACAGCCTTCTGGTTCAGGCCTCGCTCATAAAAGAGATCTGTGATCTTAGTGGGATTTGTCTGGTGAAATAAAAATCAATAAAACTACTGAGATTTATTGTTGCTGGATCATCAGGTGACTTTTTTTTTGTTTAATTAAAAAACACATGGTGGAATCTATTGTGTGTTTTTGAGGTTAGAATAATTTTAGAACCTGGTAAGACCCAGTGTCTGATTAGTAAAACCCCAGAGTTATATGAGGGCAGACTTTCTCTTGCCCATGACAGTAAAGGCTCTAATGTATACTTTTTTGTCTTTTTGGCAGGTGACCAAGACCGCTTTGAGGAGGACTCTCAACTTTGAAAAAGTGTGCAAAAACCACAGGTCCACGATGTCTGACCGAGCTCTTGCTCGCATCGCCACCCACCGTCAGTTCGATGAAAAGATCCAGAACCTCAAAGCTGCTGTGGCAGCCTTCAAAGAGGAACGCAGCAAGGCTGGAAAGCAGGAAGCGGCCGCAAAGGTTCAAAGGCAACCTGAAAAGGCGACTCTGTCATCTCCAGACACAAAGGTCGAAAGAAAAAGTGAAGAAATCCTAGACGCTGAGGCTGTGGAGCCTCAAGAAGGCACAGACAGTGAGAAAGGGGTGGGTGTCCTGGAAACGGCTGAAGATGGAGCTGCTGCCAACACTGGGATGGAAACAGAGAAACTTGCTCAAAAAAAGACAAAGTCTACAGTTGTAAAATCAACTCCAGTAAAAAATACTCAAGAAAAAGGCCAAGTGAAACCTAATCCTCCAAGTAAATTAGAAGAAAACAATCTGAAACTCCAGCCTGTTTTTGCAGTACTCGACGTAAAAACCGATGAAGGAAGCGATGTAGAGTTGTCGGACAATGAGGCGAAAGAATACTTCGATGACAGTACAGAGGAGCGCTTCAATAAGCAGTCCTCCCAGTCCGAGGAGAGCGATGATGACTTCTTTGTAGGAAAAGTGAGCAAATTCAAAAAGAAGAAGAAGAAACAAGAGGGCGTCAAAGAGGAGAAGGCATACAAGGCACAGCAGGAAAAATCAGTGGATCCTGGAGGTGCTTGCAACAAACTCCAACAGGAGCTTGATGAGCTGGAGGCCAGATTGAAACCCAAAGTGACGTCTTTTCAGTCCGTTTTCTGTCAATCCCTGGCTAGAACTAAAACTGGGCGGGGCTTCGACAGAAGGAAGGGTGGAGCTGAAATCCAAGACCAAGAGAAACTCCGAACTGCGAACAGGTTCAGAGATGATTTAGACCGACAGTTCAATAAAGGTCAGGAAAAGACTACTTCATATTCAAAGTCCAAGTTCAGTGAGCCCTGGTCTGGTGGCAGACACCCAGAGGTCCAGAAAATGGGGGGCAGAGGTGGCGGACGAAGCAGAGGAGATGCTCGAATGGGGAAGGATCACAGAGGCAGAGGTGGCTCATCTCATCAGCCGCTGCTCCATCCATCATGGGAGGCTAGCAAGAAAAGGAAGGAGCAGCAAGGACAGATTCTGGCCTTCCAGGGGAAGAAGATTAAATTTGATGATGATGATGACTGAGATGGTTTTATTTTATTGGATATTTTTTTGTCTTATGAGATCTAAAGAGTCCCATTTTGTGCTCAACACCAGTGGTGATCTCAGCTTAGGTCTTTGATGTGTAGTACTGTAGGTATGTAAAGTCCTACTGTAAACATCAAATCTTCAAATGCTTGTGTGAAATAACCAGACTTTTATTTTGAAAATGTTAAAGTTGTGAAACATGAATGCTATGGTATTCCACATTTATAAGAAATAGAAATTTATTTTAATGAAACCTTGATTTATCCTGAACACAGACATTTGACAGTACTGATTTGCTACTTTTACAAAATCTGTTTCCTTTGTAAAGCTAATGTAAAGACTGACACGTGGTCACTTTGGGGTCCCAGTGAAAACACAGGCACGGGGCTCACCACTGTCTTACTTTCCATGTTTTTAAAGACTATCTGTATTTATTGCTGTTTGTAATAAATGCCTGGTTATTTACAATTACAATAAAACTAAGATTCCTTAAAAAAGCACATATCTCGTCTGGCCTAAATGTCAAAGTTTTAAACAAAGCTCCCATGAGATGGAGTTGACTCTCAGCTACCAACACACCAAATTTTAGCTGATATCTTTACAACTGACATTATTATTATTTTTATTATTATTATTATTTTTATTATTATTATTATTATTATATCCATTTTTTATTTCCTAAAAATTAACTGTGGCAGCCATTAAAATAAGTTGTAGATGTACAGCCAGCCTATGTTTATTTTAGTTTGAATAAAATTGTCCAGTCGTTCATGAGATATTTTGCTAACAGATTGAACAAGTTGGGCTTACAAAAATGTGCCATAAGACAGTATATCTGTAGACATTTAAATTATAGTAGTTTTCTGTATTTTTCAAATGGTATTTAGTATTTAGAAATTTTCAAATTGAAGTAAGTTTATTTTGTAAAGGAACAGTGTTGTTGTAGACCACAAGATCGGTAGAGGGCAGCATTATGCTAAGCTATCGTACAGCCTGCCGGAATTAGAAGAAGAAGTGTTGCTGTTTGTGTGTACTTCTGGTCACTGTGCGCAATGCGCATTGCAATATGAGGTACACCGTTGTCGGAGAAAGTACGTTGTACATTTCGTATTTCAAGTGCTACGAACTCTGATGCAAATATTAACTGTGGAGAAAACAGACGCGATAAACTCAATTATTTTTTTGAACGACGAAAGAGAGACTTTCAGGCCTAAGGTGAGCATGAGGAGGGTGGGCAGTGTCGCTTCCTAGCTTTATGCAGTTAGCCTCAGATCTGATGATGCAGTGGGTCACCAGCATTTAATACCTTATATTATCCGTATTATGCGTGCACACTGCGAAATAGTTAACCTCAAAACTCATCCACGTAGTTGTTTGGTCGTAGTATACACGGAAGTAAATTTTGGCAATTTTTGTTTCTACTAAAGTCGGTATTGTGCGAAAGTAGTTATCCCTGGGCAAATGTTTTCCCCACCAGAAGGGGCGCGAGTCTCGTGATAGTTTTGTGTTTGCGCCCTCTGTTTGCAAAGTTGTCAGCTGTATAGAACATGTTTAATCCTAAACGCCGGTATTCCTATGATGCTGCTACAAAACTCAAAATCATAGAGTTTGCTGAAGAACATAGCAATTGTGCTGCAACCAGGAAGTTTGGAGTCTCTGAGAGCAACGTCCGGTTATGGAGAAAGAATAAAACGAGGCTCCTGAAAATGCCAAAGATCAAACACTCCTGCAGAGGGAAAAAAGCCTTTTATCCATTACTTGAGAGGGATCTTGTACGCTGGGTGGAAAACCAGAGGAATGATGGGTGTACTGTGACAGGTTTGCAGATTCAACATCAGGCTAAGAAAATGATTGGAGATGTAAAGTATGGTAAAGCAGAAGCCTTCAAAGTGTCGAAAGGTTGGTTCCAGAGATTCATGAAGCGCCACTGCTTGCATTTGAGACAGAAAACCAGCATATCACAAGAGCTGCCTGTTGAATTAGAAGATAAAATCAAGAATTTTCACAAGTTTGTCACACATCTGAGGATGAAGCATGATTTTCCACTCGGTCACATTGGCAGCGTGAATGAGATCTCAGTGTCTTTTGATCTGCCTGGCAAGAAAACTATGGAGAAAGAAGAAAACAAAGATTTTATCGTAGAGACAACAACACATGGAATAATTCACTTTACAGTGGTCCTGTGCTGCCTAGCTGATGGAACAAAACTGGCACCAATGGTCATATTCAGGAGGCAGACAGTCCCACTAAATGAAAACTTCCCACCAGGTGTTCTGGTCTACTGCCAAACAACAGGCTGTCTAGATGAAGCAGGAATTCTGCTATGGTTGCAAATTATATGGGGCAACAGACCAGGGGGGAACTTTCCAGAAACTAGCAATGCTGGTCTGTGATCATTTTAGACCTCAGTGGACTGAGTCTGTCAAAAAGAAGCTGGACCAGTTCAGGACCCATCGGGCAGTAATACCAGGTAAAAAAATAAATGAATGAATGAATGAATGAATGAATGAATGTAAATAATAATAATAATAATTTCCAGGAAGTTATGTGAATAATTGCGTGATGTGATATATGACCATCACTTGTGTGTTATGATAGATGAACATACATGTAATACAGAGTTGTGTGTCGCACACAGGTGACCTAACAAATGTGCTGCAGCCCATCAGTGTTCTCAGCAAGCCTTTCAAGGAGCATGTGAACAAGTCTTGGATTTTGTGGATGACCTTAAACCAGGTTGAAAATGCATCTAGTGGAAACCTGAAGACACCGGACCTTTCTACTGTTGTTGGATGGGTGAAGCAAGCATGGCAGTCACTGCCAGACGGCATGGTCAGAAGATCATTCCTGAGGATAGGTATTGACAACAGCCTTGATGATACCCAGGATGAGCAATTGTGTGAGGAGGAGCTGAAGGAGGAACTGGAAGATGATGATGAGGCTACTGGTCTGTCAGACATGGGGGATGGGATTGCTGGGTGAGATACTGATGTACTTCTTACAGAGGACTACCAGGAACAAGGGTTGGGGAGTGTTACTTTATTTATACATACCTACAGAATGGCTCTTACCATTTATTATGTTGCTTCGATTAAAATACATCCAAGTAGCCTACGTTTATTTTTTTTAGAGTTTTAAGACTCGTACCACGGTTGTATCCGCACTGCTGCGTACTTTTAGCCCAATTTTGTGTCGATAAATTTTGTGTTTATTTCCTCCTCTGCAGCAACGAGCTTGCAGGTCTCTGTAAAAAAAAAAGAGGGGAAAAAAAGACATCAAAAGTTTAAATCTGAAAGGAGTCTGGCTATTTGTCTTTAAAAAACCTGTGGCTTGTTGGTGAAAAGAGCTACCTGTGGAGTTACAAGAAAGGAATTCAGACCAAAGCATCGCAGTTCCACTTTTTATAGACCCCAAATGAATGGCTTAGATGTGAAAAAGGATTAAATGCATGTAAAGGTTCCTTTAGTATACTGCCATAATTTTTAAATATCATCACTATATTTTAATACCGAGGTATACCACAGTACCATGTTGGTAGTGGTCAAAGGATCCGGTGGCTCTGGTGCATGGCAGCTTTGCCTTTGTCAGTCTGTAGCTACAATGTAGCTTGCCCACCATCAGTGTGTGAATGTGTGTATGAATAGGTGAACGGCTGTACTGTAAACCCTAAAAGGACTAAAAGTGCTACATACAGGGGTTAGACAATGAAACTTAAACACCTGTCATTTTAGCGTGGGAGGTTTCATGGCTAAATTGGACCAGGCTGGTGGTCAATCTTCATTAATTGCACATTGCACCAGTAAGAGCAGTGTGTGAAGGTTAAATTAGCAGGGTAAGAGCACAGTTTTGCTCAAAATATTGCAATACACACAACATTATGGGTGACATACCAGAGTTCAAAAGAGGACAAATTGTTGATGCACGTCTTGCAGGCATATCTGTGACCAAGATGGCAAGTCTTTGTGATGTATCAAGAGCCACAGTATCCAGGGTAATGTCAACATACCACCAAGAAGGACCAACCACATCCAACATGATTAACTGTGGACGCAAGAGGAAGCTGTCTGAAAGGGACGTTACGATCTTAAACCAGGTGTTTCAGTTTCATTGTCTAACCCCTGTAAGTTCGGAACATTTACATTTTACTATTTGATACCGCAGTCATTATATAATCATTTTATGCGTAGACCACAAAGGCTCTAAAATCTCTAGGTCCGTATGAAATTAGGGTAAACATGAGGATTTGATTTTTATTTTTAAATGCTTTTTAAGTAAAAGAAAAATGGGGTCACATTATAGTTGAGTTTGCATTATCATGTATAAAAGTAATAAATCATGCATTAGTTGAAAGTGAAAAAGTTCAGGCTCTAAGACTGAGGTTTGCACACGTTTGACCCACTCTTCTTTACAGAAGTTCCAAAACCTGTGAGTTTCTTTGCTGCCGACTGGCCTGTTGAAGCCTCAGCCCGCTCTACAGATTTTCTACAGAGCTGTGGTCTGGAAATTATCTAGGTCACCCCTGACTATAATGTGTGTATTCTTTAGTAACTCTTCCGTTGTTTTAACTCATTGTCAGGTCAGACGGTTCTTGTTTAAAATTGAGTTGTACACGACCCTGTCTACTGATCATTCAGTGCAGTAAAGCTGTCCTGTACCCTTAATAGAAAGCCATTCTCAAAGCATAATATGTGACCCATCATATCGAAATGAGGATTAAGTCAAATTTGGTCAAAATGACCTATTTACTTTTTCAGATTCTTGGCTTTAAAAGCTACATTTTGATACCTGGATCATTCTGATATCATAACTAATTTTATATATATGACTTGAATTTAAATTACATCAATGAATTTTTGATGTCCTTATAAAGAGGAAATCTCAAATTATATTTGAATATTGAGATTTCCCAGCTAAAAAGAAACAAAACTTTGCTAGCTCACAAGGAAATTCTCAAAATTTTAAGGTGTTTTTCCCTCAAAATCAGTTTTTTTGTTGCTACTGCTCAAAAAAGTGCTTCAAAATTTTGTTTGATGATTATATTTCAGACAGTTCATTCAAATGATACATTGCTAAGGCATTTATTCATTGTATTTTGACAAAATGCAATTTTTGTTAACATTTTAGTTAAAACACTTTATTTGCCTATTTCTCCATTTTGGACTTAATCCTCGTTTCGATGTGATGGGTCACATATTTCCACTCTCATGCTTTATTGAGAGGATGATGCACTTCAGGTCATACTCAACATTTCACTTTCTCCAAACACTGCAGGTTGAGATGATGCTAAAAAGAAATTTTATCTCTAAATTTCTGAATATTTTCAAATTTATTTCCAGCTGTTGTCTGTCCTCACCATGCTTCTTGCTTGAGGGTCTTGTTCATTCCAGTCTTGTGCTGAATTACAGTCTTACATCTGGTGTCCTTTGACAGCTCCATGGACAGTGAAGTGGTTGGAATGGAAAAATCCAACTTTATACACAGGTATGATTTATAAGCATAAAGAGCTGAGATCAAGTGTGTCTGTAATTGATTGAAGTATTTTTCCTATCTGGAAAAACTGTAAATTCTTACATTAAAGACTGTTTATTTATTTGTTAGTTGTCAAAATCAGCAAATAAAGAAATTATTTCCCTGACATCACAAAAACAAAAACAATTTTTATGCCAAATGTTCTATACCTGCTGCTTTCTGATACATTGTGAAACTTCTCTGTAGTGCAAACCAAACACTAGAGGAGTATGTGACTCAAACTGAGATCATAGAGTTTGAGAATGGTATCAAACTCAAGGTGGAGGACATATCTGCCTCTACCGATACAAAAACTAAACGTAAGTCCTGCAATAACTTTAGTCTCATAACACAACATTTTTCATATTTAATACGTTTTTTTGTTCTCTTAATTTTCTTTTATGTCTGCTCTCTCCAACACTGCATTTCATCAGTCCTTGTTCTCAGAGAAAAATTTCAATTTATCTGTTTTTCTCTCCTCCTCCTACCCCCCCCCCCCCCAAAAAAAAAAAAAAACCCACAGCACAGAAGCCACAGCCTGTGCCACCACGCAGTGATTCCTCGTTGGTATTTCTAACGCAGAAGTTTGCAGAGAAGCTGAGTCGCACTGTTGATGGGGTGTTGGACATAAACCAACTCTCCCAGGAGTTCTCTGTGCATAAGAGACGCATATATGATGTCACCAATGTCTTGGAAGGGATCAAACTCATCAAAAAGAAGTCCAAAAGTCGTATACAGTGGTTGTAAGTATAAGATGATAGTGCGGGCACTATGTGGCACAAATGAAAATCTATGCTTGTGTACACATACATCAGTATGTTATTAAAAATTGTTATTAAAAGAGTTAACAATTGCAGGTTCCAAATTAACAGTTACAATTACACCTCACGTCTGTCCATCAGAATGCTTTATGTATGTTAAGATTTTGAAAATGCATACATTTTGATGTATTTTCAAGCGTTTGAAAATTTGAAGAAAGTGTGTATTCAGATCTTGCTTGAAATTCTGCTCATTTTCCTCCATTATTATTATTTTTTAATCACAGCTAAGATGTTTCCACATCTTGACTGGAGGTCACGTGTGGTAAATTGAATTGATTGGACATGATTTGCGGAGGAACATGCCTCTGTATAAAGGCCTCCCAGCTCACAATTGAAGCAGAAACCTCAAAAGGTCAATAAAACAGCCTGCAGAGCTCAGACACAGGATTGCTTAAAGGCAGATCTGTGGAAGGCTACTAAAGGTGTCTGGTGTCCAGAAGGCTTCAGAGAGCTGAATAGCCTCGGTAATTCTTAAATGGAAGAAGTTTGGCACAACCAGGACTCTGCTGGTCACTCAGCGACAGATCAGCAGTAAGGTGAAGGGCCTTAGTTCTTTATATTTGCTTTAGCTGTCAAGTCCCAATTCTAGCCTGATTACAGAAACCCAGAGACCCATGGTTCTATTCAGGCCAGGCTGCTCGGCCCAATTTGATGTCTGCTACTATTGTCCTTCGATACGTTCACTGACCAGGGAGGTCACGTCACACAGATGTGATTAACTTTACTTGAATCGTTTGCAGTGATTGTGATGTTTTCCACACAAGTTCTAGTAAAGAACATAAGTAGCAAGCTACCAAACAAGCTAGCATTAGCTAGTCTTCTGTCACTTTGCCCTCTTGTGTTCAGCATTACACTTCTGCATAGTCCGGTACAGACTTGGGTACCTTTCCTTCGAGTTTGATAGCATCCATTGTTGTCGCAAATAAAATGACTCAAGATTTGCACGTTTTGTAACATGACAGACCCTGCCCATATTGAGACTGTACTCAGCTCAAAGCAAGCTTAAAGGCATAGTGTGTAGGATTTTGTCGATTCTTTTAGCCGGAATTGAGATAATCACTAATGACAATAATAAAAAACATGTCTAATCATTGCAGACAAAGACCTTGTTTTATTATTTTTACCTTTATAAAAAGCTGTTTATATCTCCATGGTCGCGGGTCACAGGCAGCCGCCATCTTGCACCGCCATCTTGCCTACGAAGGCTCATGAAGGACAAACTGCGGTGGCGGCGTCAAAAATGGTTTTAGTTGTAATACTATAAATGTAATATTTGTTGTCTGTCATTGTAGCTGGGATAATTTTACTTATTAAAGCTCATAATCTTACCACTTGAAACATTACTAGCCCTGAAGCTGCTGGTAGGCATCGCAGTTGGAATTATCAAAGGTTTTTGACACCTGAGAGACACCGTAGCAATTCCTTTGTGTTTGGAAGGGGGGGTGGGGGTGGGGGGAGGACCAGGGAGGGTGATTCAACCACTCAACCACTAGATGTTGCTGAAAACAACAAATCCTACACACTGTGCCTTTAACCAGGGCCGGGGTAGAATAAAGCAAGGCCAACTGTTGCCGTGCCTTAAAATGCAAAAATGCCATAAGTTCGAAATGGACAAGAACTGCAGGTCTCCGCTGATCTTGGTTTTATTACAGGTGGCTTGATGGAAGTCTCTGCTCAAAGTACAGTACTTGAAAGATGCTTGGAGGTCTCACGCTGAAGAACAACATTCTGGTTGGGCAAAACCGAGAATAAACTCTTTGAAGGCCCTGTCACATTGACGTTTTAGACAACTTATGCCAACTTATGAAAATTTTAAAGACATCTACGTTGAAGATGGAATTGAAAAAAATCAACAGGAAGCTTCTTTTAGACATGTACATACTGTAATTCTAGCAAATTGATCAAATATACAACTTATTAGCAATTTGGACAAAAATGTTTCATAAGTTGGCATACATTGTGTAGTGTGACAGGGCCTTGGAGTTCTAAATGTTCTGTGTGGATGTTATTAATGAAACGTGGTGGCAGCATCATGCTCTGGGGTGTTTTTCAGCAGCAGGGACTGGGGAACAGATCAAGGTTGAGGGAAAGCTGAATGGAGAAAAGTATGTTTTCAAAGAAAACCTGTTTCGATGTGTCCAAAACCTCCGACTGGACTGAAAGTTCTTTTTTTTTTTTCCAAAATGACAGTGACCCAAAACAAGAAGAAACACACAGGTGGTTTCGGGATAACTCAGTGCGGCTAGACCTGCAGCCAATGGTTCTTCAACTCAGAAATAAGGGTCTAAATAATTACGGAAATGGGCGGCTGTGGCAGAGTGGTTAGGGGAGTCGTTCTGGAACTGGAAGGCCACCGGTTCGATCTCCCGTTGAGCTGTCTCAGTTGTTGTGTCCTTGGTAGAGTTGAGCATAATCGTATCGTGTGCAATTAATTGTCAGAAAAACATTAATCGATTATTTTTTTGGCACTTGATGATACGATTAATGACACCGGGCGAAGTCCGCTCGGTGCTCCTCTGCTTCAAATATGACAAACGTTTAAAAAAATAGTTCTGTAAATTATTTATCTAACACAATTTAAAATTTGATGTACAGCCTGAAGTCTGTAAAATCTGTAATTTTGACACAATTTGGAACAGATTTTTCAAGAGCATATCGTTCCCACTAAATTGGTCATGTGACAGGGACATAAGGGCATCCAGGGACGCCAGGGGATAAATAGTCAAATTAATAGTTATCAACTAAATACCACAATTAATCATGATTTAATTTTTTTGCCAGTATTGCCCCACCCTAGTCCTTGGGCAAGACACTTAAACCCTACTGTCTCTGATGTGTGTCCCATCAGTGCATGAATGTGATTGGCACTGATTAGTCTCCACAGATTGGTTGTACATGCTATCTTTGTAGAGACCTAATAGAGTGCTGTGTAATGGGTAAACGAGGACACAGATTGTTGTGTGAAGCGCTTTGAGTGTCCTGGATGGATAGAAAAGCGCTAGATAAGTACAGTCCATTTACCATATTTAAGTTTCCTTTGAATAAATAAAACATCTAAAAAGATTTTTCTTTTTCTTTTAGGGAGTATTGATCATAGATCATTAAGTTAGAAAAAGTAATATATGTAGCGTCATGTTTGGCTCTTTTAAATGCTATTTTCAAACCAAAGCTGTAACATTTAACTTGAAGTCGGTTTAACTGCATTACTCTCAAATGTGTCTTCTATTTCAGCAGCTCAATGATGTTTTAATGCATGATGTGTTTTGTCATTAACCTTTTTGTACTCCAAAATTTATGTGCAGGGGCAAGAATGTGAACAATGGCAAAATAAGTCAACAGATGATGTCTCTTATTGAGGAGGAGAAGATTCTGGACGAGCTGATCCAAAGTTGTGCACAACAGATTAGAAAGTTGTGTGAGGATCGTCACACTCATAGATATCCTTTTGTTTGTACAGTCAGCTTCCCTGATTTTTTTTTTTTTTTGTTGACAGCCAAAACAGGTCTTTTAGAAAATTTTAAGGGGTAACAATTTGTTGCAATGTCATTTTCTGCTAATAAGAAGAAAACACTAATTGTATCAAGAACTGCTAACTCCAAATTATGTCCAAGTGACTCGGTTTTTTTCCTTAACCCCGTGGATCACATATGCCTACCTAACACATGCAGATATCCGAAGGATTCAGAGTTTTAAAGAGCAGACTGTGATAGTCATCAAGGCTCCTGCAGATTCAAACATACAGGTGCCACACCCAGAAGAGGTACATAACTGGAAATCTTTGGATTTACTGTATTTTCTTGCTGCATTGTGTTGCATAATTATTCACCTCTTTTTATCGATGCTGTAGCCTCACAATCGTGAGTTTAAATGAAGTTTAAGTACAAGTAGTGGATCTGGACAAAGTCTTTAGCTCAATTAAGTTAAATGAGGGAAAATGTTTTCAATAATTCCAAACAAATTAACACTAAGAAGTGTTACATGTTTTTACCCTTGAATAAGATTCATCAGTGGGGCCCCAAAACCAACATGATTGCAACATCAAAATAGTAAGAACTACCACCGAGCAACAGGCAACATGAAGACCAAGGGACTCCCCACACAGATTTAGAGACAAAGTGGTGAAGAAGTGCAGATCAAGGTTAGATTGTAAATAACCCAAATCATGGATGTCCCACAGAGAACTGTTGAATCAATTTTATGATGCACGTAACTGGGTTTCACAAGAATTGTCAGGGAAAATATATTGCCTAAGGAAATGCATGGATTGGACCATCAAGAAGGAGACTCCTTGAACACGAAGGTAAAAGGTACTCTGTGGTCACATGATGCTAAAATTGAATTCTTTCGCTATCAAGTATGTCAAAATATCTGAAACTTCTCATCGTGCCAAGAACACCATCCTCACTGAAGCATGGTGGTGGGAGTGTCATGATGTGGGGGGTGTTTTCATGAGCAGAAGTTTGGGTAAACAGCCCGAATGTAAGGAAATCTGACAAACAAAATACTATAAAGAGAGATTCTTGAGGGAAGCTTGTATAAACAGTATAGAGGGGGATGGGGTTGGGTGAATTGTTATGTATGACAGGTATTTTTTCTTTCACAATAAAATAAATTTGCATCTTAAAGTAGTTGTAACATTGTACAAAAATATGTCTGGAACCATTTATTTGTTGGCGTATTTTTGCTTTCTTACTGCTCAGAGCCTCCAGATCTACATCAAAAGCGTCAACGGACCCATCGAGGTTTTCCTCTGCCCCGATACCGTGGAATCCTCAGACAACACAGCTGCCGACAGAGCTGATGGCAGCCAGTTCAGTTCAACAACCTCTGAGAATGATTCCCTTCCTTCACCCTCCCTACCTTGCCCCCAGGAGTCTTCCACAAGTGAGTTTTATTCTTATGATGTTACCATCTATGGGTCACACGCAGCGTAGCTTTAAAAGCCTTTAGATAGAGAATTTGTGACTTATCTGTTTCCCTATATTCTTAACAACGTCTTTATCTTTTTCAGAAGATGCGAACAGTAGTTGCGAAATAAATGGATTCTCACACCACAGTCCGAGCTGACACAACACCCACTGCTGAGTACTGGCAGCCCTTTGCTCCCACATTCTTTGCAACCTGCAATAATTACGTCCCGTCACCTTTGGCCTTGTCCCTCTACAGGACAGGACAGGAAGGATTGTCTCTTCAGACTGGAAGGTGCCGAAAGTGTCGCAGACCTGTTGTGTGTCTGACTTGGCCACGCTGCTTACCTGAACAGACTCTTTGGGGTGAAAACTTGTTCCGGCTGAAATAACAATATTCTGGAAACATATATTTTGTATTTAACTCGTTGGGATCACTAATCTCTATGTGGGGACGAGCGTCAGCCACAAGTATAACATTGGAAATGGATTACGGATGCAATGTAGTTTTTTTGTTTTTGTCTTTTATGGCAAAACGTTGAAAGAGTTCAACTCGGAGCCAGTTTGAGCTTTCTTATCAAGATATGACCACAATAGTATTAAACGATTGGTTCAAACTCTCATTACAAAACTTTGCTGTTGCAGTCTAAAGAGATGTGGATCATTTTTGTGGCTAAGTTACATCGAAATCTGCTGTAAACAAACAGTTGAATAGCTTCAGTTTGATTAAAAAGATTAGTTCAATCAGGCTAGTCTAAGTAAAGCATAGATCCAAGTGTATTGTTGCTGTCTTAAAACAATTCCAATTTGAAAAACATAACCGTGGTTCATCTGACATCCCCCCCCGAACCGCAAGTGATTGTAACAGTCGCATCAATTCTTTCAACTCTTCCATTTTACTTAGAAAAATTCCAAAACCACACCACATTCCCACTGAACACTGTTACAACACTCTCAATTTAACATTAATCAGTTACTTCAGCGGAAATCTAATATTTCTGCCTGGAGTTCTCCAGCCTTTACCAGAAATACTACAGTACAACTAGCTGCTGTTTGCACCTGCAAATATTATGACCCAGATAAACGTGCCTACTCCCTTTGCACTGATTTGTTAAAATAAGCTTTATGTTTTGTGTTGTTAACTAGAAACTAGTTTTTTCTTTTACCCAAATTCAGACTCTTATAAGGACCAAAACTCAAATTTGCTTCATTGTCATTCGATTTCCATTTAAGTCAGAGTTATTGCTCAAGAATATCAAATAGGACAAAGACTAGTACAGCATGTAACAATGCTATGGAAATGTGTATTTTAGTGTGCTGCAAGGTTGGGGTTAAAACTAGTTTACTTCAAAGTTTTCTCAGGGCTCAGTAGCTTTTACTAGAGATCTAATCTTCCATTATAAAAGCTAATTCTTACACTTTTGAGCATGACACTAACATAGCTTTGGAGTGCAAAGTATCGTTACAGTGTTTTTTTTTTTTTTATATCTAATGTCTCAGGTAGTACTCTCCGTGTGTTAAACTGTCTGCCCTCTGGTAGTTGTAAAAAGGAGAACAGTATTGTCTTCAGTTGACACATTGAACCATTGAAAGCATCGACTTGGCCTTTTTCTGTGCTGTCACAAAAAAAAGGTGTTTTTGCCTCCCTGTTTAAGAAGCAGTTCCAAATTGCAGAACAATTTTAGGTGTGACAGCTCAATACCAGTGTAGCTCTGAGGGAGCTGGCTGACAGGCTTGTCATTTTGGGAGAAGCACATGTGGGCTTGGTAATAATAGAGATAAGAGCTACTGGTTCCAGGCTCCTGTAATTGTTTGTTAGTGGTGGCTTACAGGGAAACCTGAAGGAATCTAAGCACTGTTTAATACAGTTTGATTTATCACACTGCCAATACAAGTCAAGGCTCAATATTGAGATAGACGTATCAGCAAATGGAAAGGAAAGCTCTTTGAATGGTGTTTGAGCTTCCTAATGTGCAGTCTGGAGATTTGATCGCTACTACTGGATGTCAGCTGTTTTTACTGATTGACAGCACCAAGAAGTTTTTATCACATTTTTTGTGAAATCAGACTCAGACAATGTTTGATCCAAGCTGCTACACTGTTATGTTTTCATCCAAACACAGTTGACAGCTTCCACAAGGTTCAAAATGTGTAACTGTTCAAATGTTCAAGTTTTCATGTTTTATTTTTTGTTTTTTAATTATTAAAAACCACTTTATCACAAGCATCTTGCACCAATTTTTTGTCTTTTGCACCTTATAAATCCAGAAGTTTGAATGTTGTCATGCTCACCCAATCAGTTCTGTTGAAAATAAAATTCTATATCGAAAGTCAAATAAAGGAAGATATTTGATTTATGTGTTTACCTTTATTAACCCCTTTCATACAACAGTTTAGAATAGAATAGAATTCAGCTTTATTGTCATTGCACGTAACCATTGCAAATAACCATAGAGAAAAAATGCAGAGGATTCATTAAAAAAATAATTTTCACAGCTGAAAATTCATATAAAAAAGGTGGTAAATGTGTTTTGAAGGAAATAGTTGGAATTAAAAGAGATTAATAAAATGATGAGGGTGGAATAGGAGAAAAATTTACAGCGTAATTGTACATATAACTATNACTCCAAGACAGTGGTCTGTGTGATGCCTGCGGCATTGAATCAGAGACCTCTTTGCACTACTTAGGCCAATGCTTGGCTCTGAGTAGTCTAAGGGAAAGAATTCTTGGAGACCCCTTTGTGGATCCCGAGAAGCTTAGAACACTGAAGGTTTCTAACCTGGGGTCCTTCATCCGAGGGACAAAAAGGTTTGATTAAAGCCCAGTATCTTTTGGGGAGAGCAATGGGCCCACTTATGAGGCCCCCGCTCACCTGGGTTGTACCCATCCCCAATTACCAATGCCAATACCAATATATAAAAATCAAATAAAATAATCTTATGTCTTATGTATTTATTTTAAAAGTTCATGAGCACTTCCACCACCACACACACAAATAAAAAAAATACCAAAAAAAATTCTTTAAAGAAAGTCACACCATGGCACAATTTAAGTTTATTCATAATAAACCATAAACAACCATGACTTTATTTATTCATTCACACACACACAAAACAAAAATACATGTTCAATGCAGCACAGTGAAAACCTGCAATCATACAGAAATGTTTCCTAACAAATGAACAAACAGCCGTCAACTCCATCATGATGAAGCTTCGTTTTGTGTTGCTTCAAGCTGCTCTTCATACTTTTTACCATATGATTGCGCCAAAGAGGACAGTGTTGAAAAGATTAGAGTAATGAATCATTTTCCAAAGCAAGCTTCAGTGCTTCAGAAAGCTTCACTTGCCCATCACTAATAAAAAGGGAGCAGGTGAATTGTATTCCATCAAGAAATGCTGCTTTCATGAATTCCTGTTTCACCAGCCCTGCTGTTCTGTTTCTTCTTCTTCTTGTGTGGTGTTTTATGGCGGTTGTCAAACAACGGAAGGTGTGCATTACCGCCACCTACTGATCTGTTCTGTTTCTGATTGTCTTGATTGTTTTCACCTGCGTCTGGTTGAGTTCACTGAGTGTTCTTATATACTTTATATGGTCTGATCAGTTCCTCCTCACTACACCAGTCTCTTTTGTTAGCCTGGTTTTGGTAAGAGGGTTTGAGTCAGTAGCAATGATTTTGATCTATGTTAAGATAAGTTTGTTAAAATAAAACTTTGTCCCAAAGAATAATTTTTCTTAATGGTTGATACTGGATTTTTCTATATGCAGAAACATTTTAATAGTGGGTCTTTTCAAATAGGCTTTTTGATGTGTTATTGTAAATGTTATGTAAACAATATAATGCACTGGTTTCTCTCAGATCTCCATGATGCATGCAGCTGTGGTTCTCTGGATCTTCTCAGCAGTGATCTATGTGGGGAGAGGTGATCCCCAGCCATGCCGTGCTCATGGAGCCACAGAGGAGAGCTACAACAGATCATCTCTGGTGATTTCAGCCAACAAAGACTTTGCCTTCAGTCTGTACAGGGAGCTGGCCAATTCTGAATCTCGAAGAGAAAACATCTTCTTCTCACCTATTTGTGTTTCTGTCATCTTGGCTGCTTTCTCTGTTGGGGCACGAGGAGAGTCCCACCAACAGATTTTTGATGGTCTGGCTTTCAGTAACTTCAATCTGTCCCAAACAGATGTAAACCAGGGTTTCAGTCAAATTGTTACGAGCAAACAATCACTTGAGGACATGAGTTCAGATACTGCTGTGTTTGTAGACCACCTGTTCCAACCCCTGCCTGAGTTCCTGGAAGTCTTGGAGCGCTTTTATTGCACTGACAGCTTCACTGTTGACTTCAGCAAAACACAAGACTCCATCAACACCATCAATAAATACGTTTCAGATGAAACCAATGGAAAGATCAAGGAAGTGGTCGACAGTCTGTATCCAAATACAGTCCTGTTTCTCCTCAGCTACATTTACTATAAAGGTAAAAATCATCAAATATCAAAAGACTTGTTTGTTGCTGATGTGACGCCAAAGTTGTTTTTGTTGCTCAAACAGGAAATTGGGTGACTGCATTTAATCCTGCCCTGACAAAGATGGATGAGTTTCATGTAGCTGAAAATGAAACAGTTTGTAACTACAGACTTTATTTTGAACAATTCTAACTGCAGTGCCTTGTAATGTATATCATGGCCTCAAATGATTGCTTGTATTTTCCAGGTTTCAGTCCAGATGATGAAAACTGAAGGATCCTTCTATCTTTATGATGAAGCAATCARCACCTCAGTCCTCCACCTTCCCTTCAACAASTCCTRCTCCATGTTGCTGCTGATGCCTGAYGATATGAGAACCCTGGARAACATBATCAGTCCWGCTCATGTCACTGAATGGTTGAGGGYKGRAAAGTCCAGGTAATAAGAACCACATTTAAGTTTCCATAAATCTCTGCTTTATCTTGTCTATAGAATCTGCGGTGCTTTGATCAGCTGGTTTAGGACTGGAAATTTGCCTTGAGCACAGCATCTCTTCCTGCTACCCAGGGAGCTTAAATGTCACATGTGATTGGTCAAACACTGTTTCATTGTATGATTCTTCACAATGACTTAATTTCACTACGTTCTAATGTCTTTGGTTTCTTCTCAACGTTTAGGTACTGCAACCTTTATATTCCAAAATTTTCCATCAAGACCTCCTACGTGCTGAATGACGTGTTGAAGAAAATGGGAATGACTGACATGTTTGATCATGCAGACCTGAGTGGGATTTCAAAGCTGCATGACTTGGCTGTCTCTGAGGTAAGGACAAAACCTTCAGTTCGTTTCATTCTGTCCACATCCAGCTCACTGTTTTTGTTCTTTAAGGTTGTGCACAGAACTGCTCTGGATGTTGATGAGGCAGGAGCCACCGCTGCTGCTGCTTCCACTGGGGTTGCCATTAGTAAATCCTCCTGCTTGAAGCCAGATTTGAAATATGATCGGCCCTTCATTCTGATGATCATTGAACGGAGCACAGAAACCATCCTTTTCATAGGCAAGGTTGTCAACCCAAGCCTCCTGAAGGAAGTGGTCAGTTCATAGCTGATAACTGTGAAATCCAAAGGGGAATAAATAAATGGGGTTCCTTAATGACTATAGATCATTTCTCAGTGTTTAAATGTGTTAACAGTTCAGTTCTCATCTGCTGCCATGAGGTGTGCATGTGATCAATCACTAGTTGCACATCTACAGCTCGATGTTTGGGCAGTTTATGCAAGGAGTTAATCAAACCTGGTGTGATATTCTGAGCACAAATTGGCACCTACTGTGTGCAAGGCAGTAGGTGCTCTGCTTTAATGTAAAGTTAAGTGACTCATTTAATATGGTTTGCTTCACAACTTGATTTTATCAGGTATGTTATTTTATTTTATTTATTTTTTTGGTAATTGCTATACTTAAAGACTGAGGTCATTCACAATTTTGAATTGTCAATTCCTCACTTGAATATTATGATCTTTGGCAAAATTGTATCTATTTTAAATTATATTGTGCTATTTGGGAAATTTTTTTTGTTGGGCTTGTCTACAGACTAAAACTGCAATCTGTAACAACACTTAAATTGAGTGTATAGTTTTCAGAATATCATGAGCAATGAGACAGATTTTTAGTAAAACAAAATTAAAATTTGAAATGATTGAATCATTATGTAGAGTGCACACTTGTGAGCTTTGAGATTGTGTGGTGAGGAAATGGTCTTTTCTAATGGAACCTGTTAAAAGTTTAAGAAACTCTTCACTGGGTCCTTTTGATTCTGGATGGATTGACAAGAGACAACTTTGAGAAAATTAATTTATTAAAGATTACACACAAAACCCATTTAACATATTTGCAAATCTGGGAGACCACTAGCACGATACTTCCCTTTGATTGTCAAGCAGCGTCTCATCTAACTTCTGTAACTCTGACATGTTGTAGTGAAGCCTCATTCTAATCTAATTTCTGAGCAACCTGCACTGGATTTGGATGCCAGCCTGTCACGTACTGTATTTGCACAGTCGTCTGTGGGCGAGCAAACTGGACCTTGACCCTGATCACCAAACACGTTTTTCCAATAGTTTTGTACAGCACACTGACATGTGAAATGTCATCTCCTGGGTCAAATTACGAGATGCATTACTTATTTTAAAAGCTATAAGCAGATAACATACTGTAGTTATTAACAGAAGATATGGTGCGATTGTGTATGTTTGGGTATTTGTCAGGCTGCGGTCTGGGCTGCCCCTACTGCTGGTTTATCTGGGGGCCCGCTGCTACTCGGCCCTCTGGTGGGATGTGTGGCTGGCCGCCGGCATGCTGGGGGTTCCCGGGGTCTGGGGCTGGGCGCTGGGGTGTGTGCCGGCCTGGCCTGGCCTGGCCTGGTGACTGCCTGTTGGGGCTCGGGGCCTCTGGGCCTGTCCTGGATCTGCTTTGGTATGGCGGGTGCCAGTGGGGCCCATGAGTTTGTCGCTGCTGGCCCTGGGGGC